CGGACTGGCTTCGCTGGAGGGCCTCAGGGCCAGGTTGGATTTCCATTCAGTCACACAAAATGCTGCACAGCATGGTTGGGTGTGGAGTCCAGTGTCTTCTGAGAAGTAGGGGTCACAATTAGAAGCACAGCCTCCCGCTGGCTGGTGGGCATGTGAGAACAGCCCTGCACTCAAGGGGGGCTTGAGGAAAAGCTTTCAGGCCGCCCTCCTGCCCCTGTCCCACAGCAGCCACCGGTGAAGATAAGAGGGGAAAATTACAGTCATCTGAAAGAAAATTGCAGCCCAAGGCATCTCCACTCCCTGATTCCTCTACAAGCTGTTCTGGGGAGCATCAGGGAAATTGGGGGCCCCATTCAGGCCCTCCTGGGAAGGAAAAAAAGTCATGATTTCCCTTCCCCCAGTAATCGTCCACTTCCCTACCATGGATCCACTTTGCCAAGTGGCCACCACTCAGGAAGCTCACCATACCTCAGGGACAGTCACCCAGAGCCCACGGCCTGGCTCTGCATCCGTGGCCCAAGGAGGCCAGATGAGCAACACAGAAGCCCGAGAACATCCCTCTGATGGGCAGGAGCAGGACAAAGTGGGTGCTTGCGGACAGGCTCTGAGGAGTCAGTCTCAGATACACTGTGGCTGCCGGCCAGGGAGGGCCCAGAGCCATCTCAAGGCCAGCCTTCTCCTGACCACCTAGACCTTCCATTCTGTCCTCATTTTCCCTAATGCAGCTCTACTTCTGAGTCTTTCTCTCTGAGGCCAATGACTTTATAGAGTCGGTTTCACAAGCCTCACAAGCTGGCCCCACCCATTTTGCATCTGGCTTCAGAATCTGTTGTGGGGACTTCTAGGAAATCAGCAATGAGTGATTCTAATAATCACTTGTTCTTGGAAATTTCCTAAAATAACGTGGCCAAATGAGGGGCGGGGCAGTCCTCTAAGATGACATTTCTCCTTCATTCAATCCCAAATCTCGAGTTCCATTTACTCATAAAAGAAGTTCTTGTTTGCATCATTCCAAGTTCTAATGAATTTCTAGGAAATACCACCAGAATGATGTGGCATCATTAGGACGTGTTTTCAAGAATTCTTGCTAGCTGCTCCCTTTGCCTCCAGACTTCAGCTGAATGAAGTCAGTTACTTTGCACGTTCCGTTCTCATAGCTGTATCTGAATGGCAACACCGATGAGCTCACATTCTCTCCCAACCTGGATATTCCAGGGTTCACACACCCAGAATAACACTCAGCACTCTCCTCCCCATGTCTACATTTTTCATCGCTTGGACTCTATCTACCTGTGATGCTCTTATGGTTTCCGAGTGAGTCAGTATTCCTGGCCTATTTCTTTACTCGCCGTCTATCTCCAGCCTAATGGACAGTCTGGTGTCAGTGGAGCTCCTGGAGGACAAGTGGTAGAGTCAAGGTGGTCCGGGCAGGGCTCCAGCCCCAAACGCGGCTTCCTCTGAGACGGTAGCATCCATGTCCCCACCTATTTGTGGGCCTCCTTTGCCGTTCAGGCTGTCTTCACACCCACTGCGATAGTCTGGCCCCGTCCCAGTGCTAACCTAGACGAACTTCCGTTGCTAGGAGGAGGCAGCCAGATCTGACTCGCACCGAGGCTGCAGCTTCACACTGGGCTGGCGAGTGGGGGTTTAGCACCTTCCACTGGGAGAGGAGCTAAGCCGCAGGAACTGGCTTGGGTTACATTCCAGGGTCCAGCCAATTTGGCAGCCCTGTGGGTCGAGGCGGGTGTGTGGCCAGCCATGAGTCCAGCAAAACTCAAATGCACGCAATGGCACCTTGCTGCAGTGTTAATGCTCTCAGGCAGGCTTCATCGAAGGCTCCCCATCCACAATCTGTGATTTCTGCTGCCACGTTCTTCCTAATATTCTTCCTCCTACAAGGAGTCCCCTCTCCACATCTCTCCTTCTGCAAGTGGGACCCACCTTTATGCTAGTGTCACTATTGAGACATGCTGCAGGCCACCCTTGCACATCAGCAGAGTGTCTCTAACCTCTGCAGTCTCAAGTCAAACCTTGGCCACACCTGTCCCTGCCCAGGGAAGCCCGCAAACCTTGAGGCTTTCTCGGCAGTTCTAGACACCTGAGCTTCCTCAGAGGCTGAATCTGGGTTCCAGCTCTAGAACATCAAGGAGGTCCCTCCTTCTGGACATCTGGGCTTTGTGAGAGGTTGGAGCTGGAACATAAAGGAAGTCCCCCCTTTCTGAACATCGGCGCTTCATCAGAGGCCAGAGCTGGTGTTCTGGTTCTGGAATGTCAAAGAAAGTCCTTCTTTCTGGACATCTGAGCTTCACTAGAGGCTGGGGCTAGAGTCCAGGCTCTAGAACATCAAGGAAATTCTTCTTTTCGGACAGTTCAGCTTTGTCAGAGGTTGGAGCTGGGTCCCAGCCCTAGAACATCAAGGAGGTCCCTCTTTCTGGGCATCTATGAAGCTCTCAATGAAGCTAGAGCTAAAGTCCTGGCTTTACAACATCAAGGAGGCCCCTCAGCTCTGGAACATCAAGGAGGACCCTCTTTCTGGAAATCTGGGCTTTGTCAGATGCTGGAGCTGGGTCCCAGCCATAGAAGATCAAAGCAGTCCCTCTTTCTGGACATCTGCACTTCATCGAAAGCTAGAGCTGAAGTCCTGGATTTAGAACATCAAGGAGGTCTCTCCTCCTGTATACTTGATCTTCATCAAATGACAGAGTTGAAATCCTGGCTTTAGAACATCAGAGGCACCTGTTTCTGGACGCCTGAGCTTCATTAAGTGCCACAGCTGGGTCTTGGCTCAAGAACATCAAGGAGGTTTGTCATTCTGAACATCTGAGCTTTATCTGAGGCTGGAGCTGGAGTCCTGGCTCAAAAACATCAATGTAATCCCTCTTTCTGGACATCTGAAGCATCACTGGACACTGGATCTGGAGTCCTAGCTCTAGAACATCAAGAGGTCCCTCTTTCTGGACATCTGAGCTTCATTGGAGGCTGGATCTGGAGTCCTGGCTCTAGAACATCAAGAGGTCCCTCTTTCTGGACATCTGAAGCATCACTGGACACTGGATCTGGAGTCCTGGCTCTAGAACATCAAGAGGTCCCTCTTTCTGGACATCTGAAGCATCACTGGATGCTGGATCTGGAGTCCTGGCTCTAGAACATCAAGGAAGTCTCTCTTTCTGGACATGTGAGCTTCGTCAGGCTGGATCTGGAGTCCTGGCTCTAGAACATCAAGAGGTCTCTCTGGACATCTGAACTTCATCAGAGGCTGGAACTGAGACTCAAATCTGGGACATCAAAAGTGGGGTGGCTCATTCTGAATGTCCAAGGTACAACAGAGGCTGGAGCTGGGGTCTCAGCGCTGGAATATCAGTGGGTGGCTCACTCTGGACACCTGAGGTTCATCGGAGGCTGACGCTCTCCACACCACACAGGACTCTCCTGGACTCTCAGCCTGCTCTTGGCTGAGCACAGGCTGACTCATCTAGGAGGATGCACTCTGAAACTCATCTCCTCGTCTCACTGCTGCCTGATCCAACACTCAGCACCATCCATGTCACCATCTCCATCAGAAGCTGGGTCAGGTCTCCTCTGCCAAGTGATGGCCATGATCGCCAAGGCAGTTCTTTCTCTCAGCAAAGGGGCCATGCTCAGTCCTGTGCATTTACAGCTAGCTGGACTTGCCTGCAGTTCTCTTGAGGCACCTCCCTGTGAAGGAGAGGAGGAGGAGAAGCAGGAGGAAGAAGGAGAAGATAAAGAGGGAGGGGGGAGGAGGGAGTAAAGAACGAAGGGAAGGAAGGAGAAGAAAAAGGACGAAGAGGGAGACAGAGGAGGAGAATGGAGAAGGAAAGGAAAAAGGAAGGAGGAGAAAGAAAAGAAGAAGGCAGGAAAGGAAGGGGAAGAGAGAGAAAGAGGAAGAGGAGGAGGAAGGAGAAAAAAGGAGAGGGAGGAAGAGAAAGAGAAGGAAGAAGAGGAGGGAGGAAGAGGAGGAGAAAGAGAAGGAGGGAGGAGAAGGAAGGAAAAAAGGGAGGAAGAGAGGAAGGAGAAGAGGGAGGAGGTGGCAGTGGTGTCCATGGCTGAGATGGTGGTGGTAGTGACGGTGGCTGTAGCAGCAGTGATGGCAGTGGTGGCTGTGGTGGCTGTGGCAGCTGTGGTGGCCGTGGTGGCTGTGGTAGCTGTGGTGGCCATGGTAGCTGTGGTGGCCGTGGTGGCTGTGGTAGCTGTGGTGGCCGTGGTGGCTGTGGTAGCTGTGGTGGCCGTGGTGGCTGTAGCAGCAAAAGCAGTCAGTCTCTCCTTCCTCACAGGGAGTATGTTCTTATCATCTGCTCTAGTGAAGCCAGGTGTGCGGACTCAGGATCCATCTTGACTTGGGCCTAATGCCCCCTTTGGCCCCTTGCCCCTCAGTGCCCCTGCTCGGCCCAGCTGCTCTGGGGGTGCAAGGCTCACCTTCCAGCTTGGCCAGCACTCCTGCCACAGGCAGGGACGGGTCTGAGGCTTCACCTTTGCAGCCCTGCTCAGGAGCCATTTTGAGGAATGACTTTGGCCCCAGCCTGACTGGGCCATCCTGGCCATCACTCGCCATCAGTTCAAGCATGATGACCACTCAGCCCGGCCCTGGGGAATGTGGGAAGAGGAGGAGGAGAAAGACTCGAAGCCCCAGGGGAGCTTCCTCTCTGGGGCTCCAGGAACCAAGGCAGTTAGCTCAGCTCAGAACCCCTCTCCATCACCAAAGCCACACTTGTCCCACCTCCTCCTGTACCGTCCCTTCTGGAAAGAAGCCTGGCATCCCACGATCCACAGAAGGAGGGGACCAGACAGCTGTTAGTTCATCCAAGCACGTGTCAACCTCCGGACCTCTAAGAGGCACCCTCCCCTTGAGAGCCCAGTGGGCAGGGCAGGGTGCTGGCAGCCGCATGGGTTCCAGCCGGCTCCCCGCCCTCCCACCCATCACACTGCCCGCGAGACAGAACACCCAACACTCACTCTCCTTATATTAGTAGCACATCCGTCACTGTTTGTTAAGACAGGAAACACATTTATTGAGAGCACAGTGGGGTGTGCCAAGCCCTGTGCTTTGCCGAATCACAGTGCCCTCACAACAGCCCTGTGAGGTAGGTGAACCAGCCCACCACTCCCCGCATGCAGACACCGAAGGCTCGGCAGCTCCCCTAGGCCTCTGGGTTCCTGCGGGGTGGGCAGGGGTCCAGCCCGCAGCTCTGACCCCAGGTCAGCGGCGTCCATCAGTCAGAGGGCGGGTCTCTACTCAAGGGGGTGCCCCGGGTCCAGAGTCTCTGGGTCCAGCCTGTCCCGTGGGAATAGGTGCAGGGCGTCCCCGTGGCTGTGGAGGCTGAGAGAGACACAGTTGCAGATGAAGGCCACCTGCCCCCGGCCTCGCTGGCCGACAAGAGTTCACAGACAGGCAGGCCCCAGGAGGAGGGAGAGGAGGGCGAGTCCGTGCTCAAGAGCTTCCAGCAGCATGGGGGGCGAGGGGAGCACCCAGCCACCAGCTCTGCCCATCTACCTACTGGCCCCTCAACTTCTGGTGTCCTCTACCCTACCTTGGACTCTGCCCACCTGCAGAAACTTCTGGAAGCATTACTCTAGTCCTGACGCCCTCCCACAGCTGCAACCTCCGGTTTTTCTCACCTTGATAACCCAGAACCCAGGACTCCAGGCCTTTCCAAACGCTATCCCCAGCTCTTCCGCCCAGCCTATCCAGCTTTGCTGTTTTTCTTAAAACTCAGCCTCTTCCTCCTCCAGAGAGCTTTAAACTTTCCCTTCTGAACCTCTCCCATCCAAACCTGCTGAGTCTCTGTATTTAAAAGCAAACCTCTCCCTCTGCCACTGTCTCCCCAGAGCAGGCTGGTGCTTCCCCCCTTGCCCTCCACTCTGCCCACAAGTCCCTGGGGCCAGCGCAGACAGTTCCAGGGGGCACAGGATCTCTGCAGCCAGCACCCAGTGGCCCGGGTCTCCAGCTGGGCCCACCGGGAGAGCCGAAGTGAGAGCACCTGTGTGCCAGGTCACAAAGCATTTATTTCACACAAACAATCTCACCAAACCCCACAATAGCCAGAGCAGGCAGGTGCGATGGTTTCCAGGTTACAAACAGCAAATTTTCCCAGGCCACATAGTCAGAGGGGTTGGGGGGGCCTGGAACCCAGACCTGGAGTCTCACGAGTCGGCCTATGGTGTGCAGCGAGGATTCTCAGGGCTCACAGTCACCCCCCAAGCAGACGCTGTCATGAATTACCCCATTTCTAACAGGTGGGAAAATCGAGGCTCAGGGCGGTTCAAGTACCCTGCCTGGTACCCATGCACCATTCTTTGGGGGTGAGACAGATAAAAGGAATCCAGGTCTGGGGTCTGACGCCCCCACCCCTCCACCCCCGGTTTTCTGGATGTCTAAGGCTGCATCCCAAACCCGACAGGTGCCTCACAGGTCATTGCTAATTGTCACCAATGGTGGGAACAAGGACTTCTCAGGGGAAACAGCCTCCTCCCAAGGCGGGGGCTTCTGAGGGCTCAGGGACATCCCTCCCCTTAGAAATTGCCAAATGTATTGTAATTTCTCAAAATCACAGGCACCACAGCAGCAACAGAGACACTTTGGTCCAGATGAAGTTTTATCCTAGATATAAATGTTTCCAAAATATGGCGTTTCCACTGGGGGAAACCCACCCGTGACTGCCTGGCCCCCAACTGGCAGGGAGGGCAGTGAGGCCCCAGAGCAGGCAGAGACCTTCCCCAGTTCAGAGCTTTCTCAGAAGGGTCTGCCAAGAAACACACCATTTTCTCTTAAACAAATGCGCGTATATTAGGCAAACGGCCCATTCAGTTCTTCACAGCCATTTAAACCCTCCCCTCCGCAGGGGGCGAGCATCTATTAGGCACCTACTGGTGCAGGAGGCAGGGTGCAGGGTGCGTATGGGGCTCAGAGCGGGGCTCAAGGGCAGCTTTGTGGGGACCTCCCTGAGCCTGTGTCCCCACACACCCCCAAGAGACCAGGGCCAGCTCCGCCCACCTCCAGGTGATGCTAGGCACCTGATAGAGCCCCCCAGCCCTAGGTCACACACAGGCCCAGCCTGAGGGAACCCCAAGGCCCACCCAGGAGCAGACATCTAAACACAGACTCAGAATCTCCTGGGAGGGGCTCCCTGCTGTGAAGACCCGTGAGAGCACTGAGGAGGGGACCCCGCTGCTTCCAAGTTCACAAGAACAGGGGATGGGCATGGGGCAGACACCAGGCGCCACGCTGCAAGGGCCCCTCAGCAGAGCCCAGGGGAGGGGAGAGTCAGGGGACCCGTGTGGGTGCTCCTGGGGGCAGGCACAATAGGGGCCAAGGTGTGGTGGCCAGACCTCACGGTGAGCTCAGGCTACGCTCGCTGTGGATGAGGCGGTGGATGAGACCCGAGGCAGCAAGGGGCCAAGGGCCTGCCCGCTGAGGCTGTGAAGCTGGAGACAAAGGGGTGGGGCAAGGGAGGCTGGCATGGGGTGGGGGCCGGGGTGGGGAGCAGAAGGAGCACCCAGCTCAAGCCCCCACCAGCTGGCATGTGGGGACATGAGAGCTGAACACTACTCCCCTAAATGCCAGAGACGAGAGCTGGAAAGGAACACAGAGGTCTGGTGAAGAGACCCCGGATCTGAGGCGGCCTGTGCCTGGGGTGTCTGGAGACCCCGCCAGTGCAGCGGCACCTTCTCTGACGTGGCTGAGTCCCCTGGAGGGCACAGTCTCCTTCCTCCTCCCTGCACTCCTGGGTACCTGGCGGGGGCGGAGCTGCACCAGGCTGCACCTGCTAGGGGCTGGCAGAGGAGAGCTGGACCTGGCAGAGGAGAGCTGGACCTGGCAGGGGTGAGCCGGACCAGGCAGGGGGTCTTATTTGGTGGACTCAAAAAAGCACAGGCTGTTTGTGCAAGGCTGGGCAGTCCTGGCTCTGACACCAGCTGTCCCGATTCTCAGCAGGCTTGTCTAGGAAATCGGCCCGCACTCCAGTTAGAGAATGGAAAGTGTCCAAGACCCCCGAGCTTGGTGCCAGGCCGACAAAAGGTGGCAAAACCCACCTCTGCACCTTCTACCAGGGCAAGAAAAAGGCGGTGAGGAAATGCGGAGCACAGGGTGAAGGAGGGTGAGTACCCCAAGCACGCCACCCAGAAGCCCCTCTGCTTTCTCTCTAGGTCACCCCACTCCTCCTCCCTAACAAACCAGGGGCATACAGGAATGTTTGCAGAAGCCCCTCCAAGCAGACAGACTGTCCCCTCATGGCACCGACAGGTACAGCAAACCCCAGAGCACCACGGCCCTGCCAGCTACAACCTGCTGGGGGGAAGCAGCAGCCCACAGTGGAACGGGGGCGGGGCGGCCCCTGAGGAAGGGAAAAGCTATCACTCCTCAATGAAACAAATATTTACCCTGGACCCACAGGGCTGAGCACCTGCAGGCTGCGCCACCAGTGGCTTGCACATGCCATTGGCTGTGGGAAGCGCAATCCCAGCAGAAGGTCAGGGCTGACTTTTTATCCACTTGGGACTAGCAAAGCCATCACTCACGCTTCTAAGACAAACCCCCACATATGCCCATTCCCAGGGAAAGCTAGCATCTGTACAGCACTGTGACAGCACACCCACCCTCGGCCCTCACAACAGCCCTGTGAGGTAGGCTTTCTGGTGACCCATGGCTTAGGGAAAAGGAGATCAAGGGTCAGAGAGGCAAAGGGTTAGTTAGGCGGCCCCGGGTCTGCCAGGCTCTTCCTAACACACGGCACAGCTTCTCATCAGAGCTAAAGCTCCATCGCATGACGGCGAAGCAAGGCCCCTGCTTTTCAGACATAGCATACATACGTCCATAAAGTACAACATGGCAATGGTTAACAGGTTAATGAAAAGCAAAATAATCAACGCTTAGTAAAGGTCACAAACATCAAGGCTTGTCACTGGTTACAATTTCATTAGCTATCCATCCACTCAACAGAGAAGGAAGGCACCAGCCTACCACTTGCCAGGCTCTGTGTTGGGCACCCAGCCTGCTGCCATCTGAGCCCAAATGGTGTCAGTTAGGAGGGAACAATGCAGTGTCTTTGATGGCTGGCGCCTAATATTTTGGGGGAAAGGACACCACCCAGAGGGGCCTTTTGAAGACGGACACATGTAGGCGCTGCCCACAGGCCAGGCAAAGGCAGGAAGCACACAGCATTCAAAACGCACAGCCAGGCGCGTCCAGCCTCTCAGGCAAGCGTGAATGCGTCCCCCCAGGGGGTCCAGGGGCATTGCCCAAAGAGTCTTCCAAACCCCTAGCCCAAAAGTTCCAGCCACAATTCCTCCTGTCCCACCACATACCCCTCCATGCTTAGAGATAAGCGCTTTCCCACTCAGCTATCTGAGTGAGGCCGTCTCCCTGGCCTTTGATCCTCACTCCCCTGGCACACCCCCGGGGACACGCACACCGCCCTTCCAGAATCACAGTTCAAAATCACAGTTACATGGCTCCTCACAACAGCCCTGCGAGGTAGGTGCCGCAGCCCTCCCCAGAAGGCAGACTCAACCCCAGCTCTCACAGTAAGTTTCAACCACACAAGTTTGTCCAGCCCCAGGGTCTTGGCTTTGCCTCCTGTCCTTCCTCTCCAAGGCAATGAATAACATTCAGAACTCCAGGTCGAACCCCCAAGACTATGCCTCAACCCCCACCCAGGCAGCAGGTGCTCTGGGAGTTCTCACCTCGCCTGGGACCCTCAGGACAGCTCGGGGTGGCACCCAGAGTCTGTAAAATGCCACATGCCTTGGACACCCAGGTCTGCCAATGGAGTGTTCTATGCAGACCCCCACATGGGAGGTGATTCTTCTCACCCACATGAGCAATCATCTCCCCCAATTTTCTGTAAATAGAGCTGGGCATTAACTACTCTTGAAAGGGGCAGGAATGGCTCCAAGACCACCTCCAGGAAAGGCCAGAGTGCCCTAATGACTTGAAAGCCTGCTCACGGCCAGAAGCAACCACTCATCTCAACCCCCAGCTCTCATTTTGGCTTCTCGAGGATGTGGGCTGTGATTTCTGGGCACCCGGGGAACACAGCTGGCTGATTCCAGTTGTACAGGGAACAAAGTCAGAGGGGCAATCCAACCTGCAACAGAGCTCGAGTCTACAAGTCTGAGCTGATTCCGGGACCTCTGCTTGTCACTGACACAAGCATAGGCCCTTACCAACATGCTCATTGTTTTATTTCTTTTTTTTTTTTTTTTTTTT